TACCCTCAGGGGTAGTTTGAAATCGATTTCATCCTACCTCCCGGTAATCTGAACGCGATTTTAAGTTACCGTGAGTAAGGTGAAGCAGGAGTAATCTGAAATTGCTACACCGGAATTCACTCAGATATTGATAAATATTTCGCACGAATGAAGTGCCATTATTAGTCGTCGAATATTTATTATCTACGATAGTGTTTCTTTAAGGCATTAAAGTCTAGGGTTACCAGATGTACACGTAAAACCGAAATCGTCCAAGTTGTAAGTTTTTGGTTTTTTCTTGTTTTTTGTCCTGATCAGAAAGAGTAAAAGTATTGAATTCGCCTAGTTTGTCTGTACCCCAGTGTGAGTCTGATAATACGGTTTGCCATTATACCTTTAAATTTTACTTGGAGAATCGCCCCCCAGTGGTACAGCGGTATGTCTGCGGACTTACAACGCTAGAATCCGGGTTTCGATACCCGTGGTGGGCAGAGCACAGATAGCCCATTGTGTAGCTTTGTGCTTAATTACAAACAAACTTGGAGAATCACCTGACAAAGATGGATCACACAGTACAGGGTTCCCTCTCTAACCTGTCATTGGGTAGCTGCAGAAATAGCCTCGAGAAACAAACGACAAAAAACATTTTAATTTTAAGTAGGTTAAAAAAACTTAGGCGCGTTTATTATTATTATATATCGTTTTACTATAACTAGGTTTTGTTTGTCTCTGCTTTTAAAACGCAGTGCCATAAACATCGGATTATTTAGCAAATAATAAAATGTGTGTAAATGTAATTTAAACTATTTCAGAGCTGTTACAGTGTTATTCCGTAAAGATACAAAATATTTACAGTTCTTCACTCTGTAAATCTGGTAACCCTACCAATATCATAAAGGACTTGAAAATGATGTATAACTCATAGTTTCTGACCTCGTAAAGATACAAATTAGAGAAATCTCTTTTATTTCTTGCGGTTTTCTGTTTGATTGTTTTTTTTTAATAGTAGGATATAAAACATCCCGTAATTATACACAATATTTCTTAAACTTACCGTTATAAAATTAATGTTGCTCAAAAAGAAATTGTTAAAAGTTTATAAATAATTATATGGACAGCATTTTGGCCAAGTGATCTTCCTCCTTGACTTTAACCATTTCTTTGTATTATTAGATAACGAGTGATTAATAAAAAAAAATATAAAAACACATTCAGTAGATGGCGAACATTTAAAATTTACTTTTGTTCTATACAGCAATACTGATTAGGAATTAGCGGTCGATTAAGGCTAGTTTTGTTGCAGTCGTTCTGTGAAATATATTTAAAGGTGTTTTGCCAGCCCCCCAGTGGCACAGCAGCATGTCTGCGGACTTACAATGCAAGAATCCGGTTGTCGATACCCGTGGTAGGCAGAGCACAGATAGCCCATTGTGTAGCTTTGTGCTTAATTACAAACAAACGTTTTGCCAGCCTCACAAGTGTCACTACGATATATCTGCGAACTTCTAACGCTACAAACCGGTTTTCGACACCCTTAAATACTATAACACAAACGTTTTGCCATGATCCAAGATTATAGAAAATTGCATTTCAGAAATTTTCATATTCGCTAAACACATGAAAATACTGAGTTATTGTAATTAGCTCTCTTTGCTAGGTCTGTACTTATTTTATTTGATATATGTATGTAAAATAACAAAAAATAACTATATTACAAAACATGGGACAGAGTTTATTAATGTATGAAATTCATAGTTGGATGTTAATAAACTATTTTTACTATTCTCTCTCTTTCTCGTTCTCAGTTGAAAACTTTTACACTTACAGGTTTAACTAACAAGGTGCCTGGCACGGCCTGGTGGTTAGAGCGCTCGACTCGCAATCTGCGGATCGCGAGTTTGAATCCCTGTCGTCGAACATGCTTGCCCTTTCACCCGTGGGGGCGTTATACAGTGACGGTCAAACCTACTATTTGTTGGTTAAAAAAAAAAAGAACAAGAGTTGGCATTGACTAACTGCCTTCCCGCTAATCTATCACTGCTAAGTTATGGACGGCTAACACAGATAGCCCTCGAGTAGCTTTGCGCGAAATCCGAAATAAACCAAACCAAACTAACAAAAGTATAATTATAATGAAATACATATACATCTAAATGGGACGTTATAAAGAAATAAAGATCTTATGTGTCAATGCTCTCTCTCTAATTGGAAAGAAGCGGCAAAATTAATGCTTTAAAAAGAAGAAAAACTAAAAAGTTCCATGTTTTTAACTGTAAGGTACAACGATTGTAAAACTGGTAAGGTCAAAGAACTTTGTAACTTGTAAGCCAGTGCGCATGCTCTTAATTAAGCAGTATATATATATATCAATTACGTAATCATTTTGTTTGTCACTACCACATGCATCTGATAGTTATAGAAAGGTTATTATTACAACCTTATTTTTCACAGTGCCAATAATCATCTTTGGCAAAGTATTTCAGTACATAAGTTTTTTTTATATAGATTAACAATGCTTTAACTTTAAGAAATACTGATTAACAACGCTTTAACCTTAAGAAAGACTGATTAACAACGCTTTAACCTTAAGAAATACTGATTAACAACGCTTTAACCTTAAGAAGGACTGATTAACAACGCTTTAACCTTAAGAAAGACTGATTAACAACGCTTTAATCTTAAGAAATTCTGATTAACAACGCTTTAACCTTAAGAAAGACTGATTAACAACGCTTTAACCTTAAGAAATACTGATTAACAACGTTTTAACCTTAAGAAAGACTTCTGAGAAGCTAGATAAATTACTATGACAAAAACTAATGTTATTTACAAGTAATAATAAAAAATTG